CGGTCAAAACCTAACGTCACTTGACACACAATGGCCAGCCTTGAAAGACAAATGAAATCACGCCACATAGTTACATTGTTACGGAGATGTAATAATTTTTTTTTAATATCAAACTCCACTAAATTTAATTAATTGAAATTGATTCGTATCGAATCTTATTAGGAGAAATCTCTCAATAATTATTTTTTTATTTACAAAACTTATATTTGAGATTTTATTTAAGAAAAATTGAATTTTTTTCACTTAGATTAACAGATCATTAATGTAAAAAATTATTATATCAGTAATTAATTTTATATAAATTTTTATATTAAAATTATACTTTTATACATTTTAACTATAAATTTCATGTTATTTTTTAATTTTATATTTTATTTATACTTAAAATTTGTAAAAAAATATAAATTTAATATAAAAATTTATATAAAATTAATTATAAATATCATAATTAATATAGTTTAGCATACACTATTAAAATATAATTTAAAAAACTCTAAAATAAATTATAATTTTTACTATTAAAAAAATAATAGATCTACAATTATTTTAAATACAATAATTTATACAATATTATGTACATTTTATAATTGTTTTTTTTAATTATAAATAAATTAATATGTATATATTCATAATCTTACGTACACATTACTAACAATATTAGTTTTTAATAAAAGTTCAGAATATTGAAACATTTTACATATGAAAAGAAAAGGCATTAATTATAGTTATTATAGTCTAAGATTTGTATGAAAACTCGTTTTTTATAAGTTATTTTTACATAAGGTGATGTTGCTAATTAAAAAAAAAAGGCATATTCTTTTTTGTTCATTGACCATTTTGTCCTTTACTTTTAGAATTTGGTGAACTTTTGTATTTGGAAAAAGATTTCTTAACCATATTTATTCATAATAAATCTAACAACATAATATAGTGAAATTATTATGACTTTTCTAGTTACATGTGATTCGTAAATCAGAATGTATTTGCTCATTTAATATTATAAAATTTATAATAAATTTTTTTTGTCATAAAATTACAATCAATTTGTGTATTAATCATATATTTCCTCAATTTGTTTTACCTTGTAATTTTGAGCATTTAAAATTATTTGTTCATTTTTCTTTTTTAAGAAAATATTTAGAGCTCTTAACTCACATTTTATCCTTATTAGAATAATAGAAATACTAGAGAGGGTAGCAGAACCCTAGCTGTCACTCCCTTCCCCCGTCTTGTTTCCATTTTTTCTTCCTCTTTCTATATTCTTTGTGCCTCTCTTCTTTTTTCATTATTTTAATTTATTTTAAATTTTTAAATTTTTTTCAAGGGTCCTTGCCTCCTCTTAAAGTTAAAGGTTGACTTATATGAGAGTTCATTCCTCTAGGCATAATTTGTTTGAGTTTTATCATTATTTTATATCCTTTTTACTAAATGTTCAAAGTAAGAGAGGTAATTAGTGTGTCATATGTTGCCTTAGAATGCTTTTAGCAGTAGTCGACCTCAGCAATTACATTTTTATCTTAGTCTTGGTAGATTATATTGATTTGTAACTTCATTGTCATATCAAGATTTAGGTTTGAGTACAACATCCAAATAATCATTAAGTAGATTGCTATATTACCATCTGCTTAACTAAGTGTTTTATACTTTAGGATTAAGTATTGTACCAACCCAATATAAATGTTTTTTATAAAAAAAATATAAATTTTGATTTTGATTTAATCATTTGACTAGTAGAAATTACCCATGTAACAATTGTGTTAAAATAAAGATTAATTTTTATATTTTTATGTAAATTAATTGTAAAAAAATACACTTACTACATATATTATCTATTACCCTAGTCTATTTTACTTATCAAACTTTTATTTAGTACAATTACAAAAAAATTTACAAAATTCCATAAACACACTCCTATTATCAATTAAAACTAAGCTTGCTTAAGATATGTCTTAAGGATACTTTCTCATTAAATTATATGGAAAACACAAAAGTTGATTTTATTTTCAATGCTAATAACACATACATAATTTTAATTAAACGATTAATAAAATTAAAATCAAATTTTATTTTTATAATAATTAATTGAGAAAAAAGTGTCATAATATACTCTTAAATTGTGTTATAAGCATATATCTTAGAAGAGAAAAATGAAAATCCATATATTTTGATACAAAATACTGAAATTCCTTGTAAAAATTTTCAAATATCCTTAATGAATCTTTTTTATGTGTTGATTCATTGAGGGTATTTTAGTCTTTTCATTATCAATCCTAATATTTTAATTGCCAAAACATCCATATTTTTCTTAATTATATATTAGAAAAACCTATTAAAATTTCATACTTATCCTTTTTAATGAGAGTAATTGGAAAGTTGGGAGGCGTTTTTTCAAGAATGAAATAATTGTTAATAAAGATAAAATTTAAAAAAAGAACACTTCAATACAATGTTAGAAATTGAAATTAACAAATAATAAAAGAATTAGACTATTTTCTTATAAAAATTGGGACAAATAAAATGAACTTGAGGGAGTAATTTCTAAAGAACCTTGTATTCTCTTGTTGTGGTTTATTGGTAGTCACTGCAGCCCAACAGGATTGCCGATAGATTGCACTCTAACTAATGATCAAACTTGATTAAAAGTAAAATATTAACCTAACTTTTAATTTTGACCTTTAACCATTACCCTTATTAAAAAAAAAAAAATTTCTAAAAGACCTTTTAGATAATAAAAAGTAGGTCAAGGTGATGGTTGAGATATCATTATCACGATTTATTATTGTCTCCCTCAATTACTCTTTTTTTTTTTTCTCAATAATGAAAATTGACCAATGAAAGAGATAGGACTTTCTAATTTTAGATCTATATTAGTGGATTTTAATTCTTATTTTCTCATATACAGTTAAAATGTTGGTGCTATATTTAGAAATATATTTCAAATTGTTG